CGGAGCCCACAATGCAGGCCTGTGGCCTGACCGGGGATCGAACCCTGACTTCCTGGTTCCTAGGTCGACACTCAACCACTGAGCTACACTGGCCGGGCCATAGCAGATCCTCGAACGCACGTTTGCCGAATGGAACGGAACTGAGATTATTCGGGTTAAGAGTTGGTTCAACATATTTCCAAGTTCCTGGCTGCAGAAATGCATCATGGGGGCCAACGGGAACGGCTAACCCCCCCTCTTGAGGTTCTGGAATCCCCTCACGTATCCATTTCATCGAAGGAAGGCCTTCAGAGCTCCGAGACCAAGGACACGTCTCCTACTTGGCGTTGGTTGACGTTAATCAAATAACTCCCGAGGCAGCCCCGGTCGGTGTGGCCCAGTGGTTGGGCTTGGACCCATGAACCGAGAGGTGGCCGGTTCCACTCCCGGTCGAGGGCACATGCCCGGGTTGCTGTCTCCGATCCCGGGAGGGGGCGTGCATGAGGCAGCCGATCCGTGGTTCTCTCTCATCATGGATGTTTCTGTCTCTCTCTCTCCCTCTCCCTTCCTCTCTGAAATCAATAAAATAAAATAAATGAGCCCTGGCCAGTGTGGCTCAGTGGGTAGAGTGCTGACCTGCAGACGGAAGGGTCCCAGGTTCCGTTCGCCGTCAAGGACGCGGACCTCGGTTGCAGGCTCGGGCCCCAGCCCCGGAGGGTGGCCCGCGTGAGGCAACCCAGTCAAGTGTCTCCCTCACATCGATGTTTCTCTCCCCCTGCCCCACCCTCCCACCCTCCCTGGAAATCAATGGAAAAACACCCTCCAGTGAGGATTCACCACAACAGGAACGGACATGGGGAGGGGATCGGGCTGGGCGGGGGTTCTGATGGGGCTGGGTGTGTCCTGCAGGGCTGGGCCAGGGGGTGCCGGTCGTGGGCCTGGTGGTGGAGGGCGGCCCCAACGTCTTCTCCATCGTCCTGGAGTACCTCCGCGAGGAGCCGCCCGTCCCCGTGGTGGTCTGTGACGGCAGCGGACGGGCCTCGGACATCCTGTCATTCGCGCACAAATACTGTGAGGACGGAGGGTAGGATTCCTGGCGGGGGGCGCAGGGCGGGGCCGGAAACCTGGGTCGTTCCAGGAAATGTTCAGGAAGGAGTCTCTTTAAATGCATTTCTACTGGTGTCAGAGAGGAGGGGAGAGGGAGGGAGAGAGAGAAACATCCGTGATGAGAGAGAATCATGGACCGGCTGTCCCCTGCACACCCCCCACTGGGGATCGAGCGTGTAACCCGGGCCTGTGCCCTGATGGTGAATCGAACCCGGGATCCCCTGGTTCCTAGGTTGGTGCTCAGTCACTGAGCCTCGATGACCGGGCTCAAGAAGGAACCTGGGCTGGGTTCTCCCATCTCCCCAGGTCGGCGTGGGAGGGAGCCGTGGAGACCCTGGTGTTGCTCCCGGAATTCTTCCTCTGGGGGTCACTCTCTCTCTCACTTGCATTCCCCGTAGACGGGTTTCGACAAGCCTGGGACTGAGGACAGACGTGAGGGCAGTTTTAGACTCTGGTCCCCTTTCTTCCCTCTTCTATCCAGGGAGCCCCTCAAGGGGAAAAAGTTTCCAATCAAAGATACCAGGTGGCCCTGGCTGGCCGGTTTGGCTCAGTGGATAGGGCATCTTCCCATGGACTGAAGGGCCCCGGGTTCGATTGCGGCCTGGGGCCCTGGTCGGGGCTCACACAGGAGGCAGCCCATTGATATGTCTCTCTCACATCGATGTTTCTGTGTTTCCCTCTCTCTTCCACTCTCACTGAAAATCAATGGGGAAATAGCTGTGGGTGAGGATGCACAAACAAACAAACAAAAAAAAAGACACCAGGTGGGCCTGGGGCGGAGGGGCCGACTCACGCAGATGGGCCTGACGCGAGCTGTCTCTCTTCCCTGCGGCGTTTCCCTCGAACAGGGTCATCAGCGAACCGCTCAGGGACCAGCTGCTGGTGACCATCCAGAAAACCTTTAACTACGGCAGGACCCAGGCGCTGCAGCTGCTGGCGGCCGTCGCGGAGTGCATGAAGAGGAAGGCGCTGGTGAGTGTCTCCGGCTTTTTGGTTGTTGTTTTTTTAAAATCCTCACCCGGGGATATTTTTCCCATTGATTTTAGAGAGAGTGGAAGAGAGAGAGAAAGACAGAGAGAAATATCGATGTGAGAGAAACACATCGATTGGTTGCCTCCTGCACAAGCCCCAACCAGGGCCCCGGGCTGGGGAAGAGCCTGTAACCAAGGTACATGCCCTTGACTGGAATCAAACCCAGGACCCTTCAGGTGCAAGG